AGGTAAGCGATGAGAGTGGTGGCGACTCGAAGAAGTTCAACTTCTTGAGTCTCTTGTCCCGCCTCGACCCTCCTCCACAATCATTTCCACAGACATCGCTCTTAGCCGAGCGACTCATTCGTCCTCAGCCGCCACTTTTCCAGCTTTTCCCCTCTTCGTCCTTCCACTTCTTCTACTTTCGCTGGCGTCGGGTGCTGACCCAAGCCGCTAAATTCCTCGGATGGTATGGATGAGAATCGTCAGTTCTGGATCGATATCCAGTGTCAAACATTTACAAATTGGATCAACCAACAGGTGGCTATTATATTTAAAAACGCCGTCATGATCACGCCCTTATATATGAGTGCAGCGCGGTAGAGAAGGCCGACGAAGAGCTGCACAATAGAGCTAACCATCAGGAGTATAACACTTTTATCATATGGCCTTAGAAGATGTATTTTGACTAAGCCTTGAAGAAGAAGAACTTGAAATTGTGAAAGCAATCTTATTTTGCCTAGAATGTGACTACGAATTTCTCTGCGTCTTTCAAATTCATAATTTGCCCTTGAGTAGTTCTGTACTCGTAGATCTCTCGAAATTGTTGCTGCCTAATACAACTAAACTCTTCAAATTCCAATCATAGTGGTGTTTGACAAAGTACATTTGAGCGAGTGTCCATTACGGGGTAAAGAGTTGAGCCGTGAGTCTCGGGATTTGTCTGAGTCACATGACAAACCTCTTGAGCCTCACCTCTGCTCTTCACAATCGATTCGAGAACTTCTTTTTGCTGTTAGATATTGTTTGCAAATGTCTCCTAATAAGTGCTCTGATGTGTGCGCAGCGGAGTTGCACCAGCTCAAGCTACCTCGTATCCCCGACTGGTCATTGTTGACATTTGACCGGCTATCTGCTCATTGATAGTTGACAGTTAAGTGACTGTTGAGGGTCAGTCCTCCTCAGCCAATCATTAGATCTGACGAGAGGAAATGCTCGAGCAGTTTCTTATCAGCCACAAGAAACCGGATTTTCTGAGGCGAAAAGAAGAAGAGGCTAAGAAGATAAGGAGATCTTTAAAATAGCAGTTTTCGTACGAAAGGGCAATAAGACTGGAAACCTAGACATCTAGCGCTTCCCAAAATTAAACGAATCAAATTCCAGATAGAATTTCCTCAGATCACTGACATATCAAAAGATCTCGCCAATGGAGTAGCTCTAATACGTCTTATTGAAGCCCTACAAGGAAGGAAATATTATGGAAAGGTAAACCAGGAAGTATCTAATTTTAAATAAAGCGTTTTTTTTTTGTTTGATAAACGATTTCTTCTACTGTGTAGAATACTATTTTATGTTTGCGCGCGTTTTTTAAAATGTTTACTCTCTTCAAACACTATTTGGCTTCCGGATGATGCGCTTCTAGTCTTCTGGATTTGTAAAAAAATGAGATAATTGCTTCAACAAAAAAACCCAATCTAGTCCTAAAGATTAATCTTCTGAAATTTGAAATTACAGATCTATGAGGACGATCCTACAGAAATTCAGATGCTGCTCAATGTACAGATGGCTTTGGACGCGCTTAGAGAAGATGGCGTGAAAACTGTAAATATAGGTGAGACTGTAGAAATTTGATTGTGTAGACAATTTTTCTCCAAGGATATTCTTCCGCCAAAGCGCTTTGACCGGACTACTTGCGCAATAGTTCTGGGACTGCGATCATTCGTGCTAAATCATTTCCAGACTGTATGCTTGTCTAAAAGCCACAGTTCATGCGCAGAGGTTCGCAGCATAATGCTAAGACGATTTTAATGTTGACCCAGGCGTCAAACAGTCTCGAATTGCCTCCGTCTGCCTCTGATGTAGTCTGCGCAGAAATATACGGTTGTAAGAAAAATCGTATGGAAATTCCAGGAAGTCACGACGTAGTCGAAGGCAACACAAAACTTATACTTGGTCTCATATGGTGCCTTATACAGCGATATCAGATCGCATCTCGGAGTAAGATTCCTCCGAAAAAGCTAGTCATGGCTTGGATCCAGGTAACCAAGAAGGCCATAAATGAGCAAGAAACGATGAATCAAAGTTTTAGTTGTTTCAACTCTTTCAGTCAGTTGTTCCGGAGTTGAAGCTCACAAACTTTCGAACTAACTGGAACGATGGAAGAGCACTAAGTGCTCTACTCGAATATTGCCAACCGGGATTATGCCCGGAGTGGAAAGGGTTGGACGCCGAACAAGGGTAAAATTCTAAGTTTTTGACCAATTAAAAAATAAAGTTTTTCTCCATTTAGCCTTGCCAATTGCGAAAAAGCACTCAAACTGGCCACTCAGTATTTGGCCATACCTCCCATTATCTCTGCAGCTCACCTTAACAGTCCACACTTGGACGAGCTGTCGTGTATAACCTATTTATCTTATTTCATAATGAGAGGAGCTTGCGGATATAGGGCTACTCTTTACAGAGTCCAACAAGTGAATTTTCTTTGGAACTCTCTTGCTCTCATCAGTTGAATTTTTTACCTTCAGCTCCTTCCTGATAGCGTAGTTGAAGATTTTGAGATGTCATGGTGTGACGGATATTTGTTGTCCTTACTGGTTGAAGCTGTTGGAGGACCGGTTAGTTTGACTAGTTAGGGAGGTATAAGAACCATATGCAGAATGCGGCAAAAGCAGGAATAGGCTTTTGCTTAACGGTTCTAAAGGAATCAAAAACATCCATAATGTTCGTTTCGATAATCTCTTCGTTCTAGGCTATTGACGTTGAACAGATGAGATTCGATACGTTTGAAGATTGCGTTGAAAACATTAACATTGGTCAGTGCTGCAGTCTTTGCTGTTATTGACATATATTGGGCGGGCGACTTGCACACGGATATTTTTGTTTCGAATATC